CTGTTGTTGTGATAAGCATCTTAGGGGGAGAAAGGGATTTGCTTCAGCTTACAACTCAAGATTGCACGCCATCACCCTGTCCCGGGAAGTACGGCGGGAACTTGGCACAGCCAGTCACACCACGTCTGCAGGCAACAGCAGAGAGAAATGCAGGCAGGCAGACTCACTTGCTGTGTGTGCTCTTGGCAGTTCAGGATCCCTGCCGAGGTAGGGAATGGTACTGTTTGCCGTAGGCTGGGCCATCCTCATCAGTTAGCTTAATTGAGATGATCCCCAAAGACACACCGATCCAGTGTGGACACGGAGACACTTCCCAGGTGACTGCAGGTTATTGAGTGGAGGATTAAAGGCAAGCATCATGGAGGAGTTCGTTGTGGCTGAAGGGTCAGCAAGTGTGTGGTGTAGATTTTAGGGCGTGTTGACAGTCTGTAGCCACATAGACCCTGTCTGGGATTGACTATGAACTGACTGCTTTGCGTATGAGAGAGATGTGGGTATCTTAATTTTAGTTTGCATTTATTTGTGAGCACTCAAGCCATACAGCAGCATGCTGTGAAAAGCAAAGGACAAATTTCAGTAGTTGGTTCTTACTCCACCATGTGGGTCTCAGGGATCAAACTTAGGTCACCTTGCTCTGCAGCAAATGCCTTTGCTCAGTGAGCCATCTCATGGCTACTTGTGAATCTTTTATTGTCTCTAGGGACTGGCTAGCCTTGGCATTTAAGAGGGATAGTCCCACCAGGATCTGTATCAAAGATTTTGATACCAAAGTAGTAAGTGCATCAAAAACCCCAGAATAAGCCAGGTGGTGGCAAGCACCTTAATCCCAGCACTTAGGAAGCAGAGGCAGATGGATCTCTGTAAGTTTGAGGCCGGCCTGGTCTACTGAGCAAGTTCTAGGACAGCTGGGCCACAGAAAGAAACCTTGTCTCAACAAACAAGCAAAAAAATAGAATAAAAGTGCAATTCACATAACTATTTAAGGCAGAACTCCTGGCTCATGATTTTCTTTCATGGCTATATACGTTATAGAGAGAGTCAATTTGGACCCATCCACAATAAGACACAAACACTTGGGGCTGGAGAGCTAGCTCAGAGGTTAAGAGCAATGCTCTTGTCAGGGCCAGGGTTCAGTTCTCAGTACCCATATGGTAACTCACAGCCTTCTGTAACTCCAGGTCCAGAGGATCTGATAGCCTCTTTTGGCCTCCACAGGTACCAGGCACGAACTTGGTTTGTAGGTGCACATGCAGGTAAAACACTAGTATGCATATTTTAAAATGTATTTTTTTGAAACACAAACACTTCACATTGCTTTCTAAATCATACAAAGAGCATTTAAGTGTGCTACAGTACTTTTAACATCGCTGATAGTTTTTGCTTTGGGGGGTTGTTTATGACAGTGTCTCACTATGCAGTCTTGGCTGGCCTTGAAGTTGCTATTGACCAGGCTGATCTTGAACTCATTAGTAAAAGGATTTTATTTATTTATTTATTTATTGGTTTTTTTTTGAGACAGGGTTTCTCTGTAGCTTTGGAGCCTGTCCTGGAACTCGCTCTTGTAGACCAGGCTGGCCTTGAACTCACAAAGATCTGCCTGCCTCTGCCTCCTGAGTGCTGGGATTAAAGGTGTTTCCCCACACACACACACTGCCCGGCTAGTAAAAGGATTTTAAAATGGATTTGGAAGGCAACTCAAAGACAATTTATTCTGAGGAAAATAGGGGCTGAAGAGATGGCTCAGTGGTTTAGACTGTACTGCTTTTAGAGAGGATCTGAATTCTGTTTCAGGACAGTGCTCTCTTCTAGCCTCCTTAGGTATTCACATACATGTGTACACACACACACACACACACACACACACAAAAGATAATCATCAGATCTTTAGAGTTTGAGGGAAAAAACAGAGCAGATGAACCATAAACCTTGGCAGCTGACCCGAGGAGGAGGATGGAGGACAGGAAGAGAATGGAGTGGCGGTCAGCAAGCCATTGCGTGATGGAGGAGGTGGAGAACTCAGAGAAAAACTGAAAAGGCCCAGAGCAACATGCTTGGACTTTTGGCTGGTATCCCAAGGAAAAGGAACAACAAAAAAACTGGTTAACTTTTCTGAGGACTCAGAATTCTGTCAGCAGAAGCACTGAGGGAGGGTTCCTTGTAGGGATGAGCACATTATCTCTTTAAGGAGACAATTAGCCTTTCTTCTGTAGCTTGAGTTCTGGTCAGGTGAGTGGCAGGCAGAGCTGAATTAACTCTTCAAAGAAGGTAATAGTTTGTGATGTTTTGGATGGTTTAGAACGCCAGGTCTCCTCTCAGGGTCAGAGGAAGAGCTTAGATTCTATTCTGTTTTGAACAGGAGGAAGTAGCTTTATCTTAATAGGGCTTTGATTTAAAAATTAAGATGGGGTTTCCCTTTCTGGTGTTACCAGGAAATAGGAGGTAGGATCCATCCTCAGTGACCTCCAAGGCCTCGTAACAGGTCAGGCATCAAAGCCAGGGCCTTGGACAGGCCAGGTAAGCACACTCTGCTGTCAAGCTACAACCCTAGCCTTTGGCTTTAGGCTTTTATTGTTTGTTTAGTTTGTTTTACTATTTTTAACTGGGGGAGGGGAAGGTTGCCTGCAAGGGCACCTGTGTTGGTAGGTTAAGAGGACGACTTGCCCTGAGTGTGGTGGTACACATCTTTAATTTTAACATTTGGAAAGCAGAGGGTGGCACATATCTGTGAGTTCCAGGCCAGCCTGGTCTACAAAGTGAGTTCTAGGACAGGTAGGCCTGTTACACAGAGAAACCCTGTCTTGAGGGGAGAGGACAATTGGCAGGAGTCAGCTCTCTCCTGCTATTGAGTCCAGGGGACTGAGGGGACCGAATTCAGGTCATCGGGCTTAGTAGCAAAGGGTCTTTATCCACTGAGCCCTCTCACTAGCCCTTGTTTGTGTACTTTATGTATATATTGTGCATGCACATGTGTACAGGTATATGGTGGTGTGCAGGGAAGCCAGAAGAGTGTTTCAGATCTCTTGAAATGAGTTACAGGTGGTTGTGAGCTGCCATGTGGGTGCTGGGAACTGAACCTGGCTCTTCTGCGAGAACAGTGAGCATTCTTAATCACTAGCCATCTCTCCAAGCCCTTTGCCTTTTTGTTTTTGAGACAGGCTAGCCTTAAACTTGTGATCGTCCTGTCTCATCCTCCCCAGTGCTCGGGTTATAGGTGTATGTGCCCAAGGCCCACCATAAACAATATTTATTAATATTCTTTGGAACTGACCATTTCTAGATGGTATTTATGCTCTCTTTTCTGAACAGCAAGAAAGCTGAATCTGTTCAGCTTTTGGTCAGACCTTAGTTTACGGGAACAGCTAGCCCTGATAAGCTGCCCCAGGCAGAGGCTGCCATTCAGGTTTGTCCCATATTTGTGTGTTTAAATCATCATTGCCTGGGTGGGGTTTGGTATGGTGTACGAATGGCAGGCAATTCCTGCCCTGACCTGAGCCACTTCCAATTATTATTTTTCATTTGTAAATGGGTATTTGTGTGTGGATGACATCTAGGTGGCCATCATCTACCATAATAATAATAATTTCTAGACATTAAGATGACATCAGAATGTCTGAGGCAGGGTGGGTGACATCCCCACCATGCTGGGCTGTGGTAAATATTGAATGTTAAGGACTAGGGATGTAGCTCAGCTGCTGGATCACTGGCGTAGCATATATGAATCCCTGGGCTCAGTGTCCAGCACCCAGTAAAAGACATGCTGATGCACAGCTGTGATCCTGGCACTTGGGGGAGACAGGAGAGGATCTCTCAGAAATAGGAAGTTGTTCTCAGCTACCTGACTAGTTCCAGGCCAGTCAGGGCTACACAGAGAAACCCTTTCTCTAAATAAATAAATAATAAACTTTTAAAAATTAAGAATAAATTTTTATTGAAAATGTTTGTAGCAGGTAGTAGACCATATCATAATTTATAAGCTTCCTCCATAGCTCTGTCAGAGAATTTCCAATATATTCCTAGTCTGTTTGTTGCTGGTTTAACAAAATACTGGGGAGCTGGAGGTGGGAGTGGGGAGAGTGAGAGTTGTCTGGCCAGCGGTTTTGGAGGCTGAACAATTGGAACTACAGCAGCACCTAGCAAGGGTCTTCCTGCTATCTCAACACCTGGAACCAATCCTGAGGGTGTGGGGGCATGGCTCAGGGGCAGAATGCCTGCCCAGGATTCCCCAGTGTAGGGCTAGAGTGGGGGTGCTTGGAGAGAGGTGGGACACTTACCTAGAATCTTCCAGTAAGGAATCAGGGTGTGGTTCTGTAGTTTAGCACCTGCCTAGCAAGTATATTGCCTTGGATTCCATTCCCAGCACTGCTGCACTGCTGTTTTTCTCTCTCTCTCTCTCTCTCTCTCTCTCTCTCTCTCTCTCTCTCTCTCTCTCAGCAACTTCAGTCAGTGGGTACATGTATCCTCCTATCGAGATCCTAACAGTAAGCAGTTGGAGTAAATAACAGTTCAGAACTCTGATGTGTGCTGAGTGGGTCCACTAAACAGAAGGAGCCTCGGGTATACTCTGGTGGTTCTACACCAGGCTGATAAGCCAGCACAGCCAGCTAAATCAGCATCATGCCTCCGGGACTGTGGGTCTCAGCGCTCTCCTGACATCCAATCTCGGATTAATTATCATCCTGTGTGCAGTGTCCGTGCAGCTCCTGATGGTAGATTATTTGCCGTGAACACAGACTGTCCTCTGCTGTTGCCCCCTGCAAAGAGCAAGCAGAGTGTGGGAGAGTCGTTTCTTTCTTTTTTTTTTTTTAATTGTTTTACCCAAAGAGAAAATTCTGTGCCATTTCCACACCAAACAGTCACAGTGGGAACCAATTTCCAGCATACCAGCCCCACTGCTCCAGCCAATACAGCAAGTGAAGACGTAGCTTTGTTTTCTAGAAGGATCCCACCCAAGGCATCAAAAACAGCGCAGCACAGCCTGGGTACAGCACCAGGTCGCCAGCATGGGGACCACACATTCCAAGGGTGGTGACAGGCGGGGAGCACTCCCTGGCCGCCCTGAGCTGTCTTTCTACAGCTCTTTCCCCAGGAAATGGAGCGAAAACGTCTTCTTGGATAATGAGCTATTGACCTCCAAGATTCTGTCAGTGCTGAAGCCCCAGGCAGAGCCAGGCTTCAGAACGGGCAACCTCCGCTGTCCTGCCCACTTTCTCAGCACCAACTCTGTATTTGCTTCTGTTGCAGCCTCCCTGAAGGAACACCCTCGGACTACACTCCTGTCTGATGGCAGCAGCCCAGCTCCTTCCAGGAATGTCGGCATGACCATCTCTCAGAAAGGAGGTCCCCAGCCAACAGCGAGCCCAGCCGGTTCTGGGGTACGACTTGGGTAAGCTGGGGGGTTTCTCTCCTGCTAGCATGTGCACTCAGAGGGTTGGGAAAAACTCCTTTATTATGTCCCATGGTAGATTAACACGTGCTTTCTGAATCCATGCATTTAAGATTTATCATCGTCTCGTGAGAGCCGAGTTAGCCCAGGCTGACCTAGAACTCACAGTATAGCTAAAGATGACCTTGAACTTCCTATTTTAGGTTGCATTTACTTATTCATGTGTGTATGGGAGCATATGTGCCACAGACATGTGGAGGTCAGAGGACAATTTTCAGGAATTGATTCTCTCCGTCCACTGTTTGGGAGCCAGGGATTAAACTCAGGTTATCCGTCTTGTAGGCAAACACCTTTACTAGCTGAGCCATCTCGCCAGCCCAGTACATGCGTTTTTCTTTTTGTAACACCAATGTATCCCTGATTACGTTCAGCCACAGGTTGGGACAGTTTGCCTAACATACAGGGTTGGCATCCCTGCGCAGGGCTTCCTCCTGTCCCCAAGACATGCTTATGGTCTTACAGCTCAGTGTTTACCCTCACGGGGCTTCACGGGATGTCGAGATGGTCCCATGACTACAGGACTAGTCACGGCATAGCATTATAGTCACGCTCGCTGATGAGTCTCTGGGGAAATGGGCTGACTTTCTTTTCCTGCTTCTCACTGCTGTGGGGCTGTGTCTCCTCTAAGTCGTTAGGAGGAAGTGCACGCTGTGCCTTCCGCACACAGACTTACTGAGACATCTTGCTATGTCATCACCAGTTGAGCAAGCCTCTGCCACTGAGCCACGCCCCCAGCTGCTAGAATATTTTTACGCTTCCAGGAAAATGTGAACAGGTAGCAGAATCTCAGACTCCTTCCCGAGCCTGGCCCCCCACAGACATGGCTGCCTCTGTTGTTAGGCTGGTACGGCACATTTTTACAGTTGAACACCAGCTGATACACAGGACCAACCTAACTCAAGTTCACATTTTGGTCTGGAATCTAGGCTTCTCCCCTACTGCAGTCTCTCTGAGGACTCACTTAGAATCCCAAATTATGTTCTCCAGCTCTTCCCCTTCTCTCCTCCTTTCCTACTTTTTCTTCCCTCCCTCCCCCTCCCCCTCACTGAGCCTTGAGCATCCTGAGCAAACACTCTAACTTTGCACTACAACCCTGGCCCAATAGTCTCCTAACTTTTTTTTTTTTTAGGATTTATTTATTTATTATGTATATAGTGTTCTCCCTGCATGCGTACCTTCCAGAAGAGGGCACCAGATCTCATTACAGATGGGTGTGAGCCATCATGTGGTTGCTGGGACTTGAACTCAGGACCTTTGGAAGAGCAGTCAGTGCTCTCAACCTCTAAGCTCTCTCTCCAACCCTAGTCTTCTAATTTTTAATGATGATCTGTGACAAGTTAAAGTGTTCTGCTGGAATCCAGAAAGTTCCCCAGTCATCTAATTAGGAGTAACAATCCCATTTGCCTTACATATTCCAAGTAATATATGCCTATTTGAGTCACTTTTGCTGTTTATTTGGATTTTTTGTTTATTTGCATTGTATGGGTGTGGTGTGGGTGTGTAAATATGTGTGTGTGTACATTGCACTTTGCACACGTAGAGCCAAAGACAACATTGTGGAGTTGGTTCTCTCTGTGTAGGTCCCAGGGATTGAACTCAGGTAGTCAGGTTTAGAAGCCTCTTTCCCTACAGAACCATCTCACTGACCTGAATTTCTTTTTGTGAAATAAACATATCATTTTACTCAGACCAATCACTGGAGACATGGATGAAGCCGACACTGTGTTTTTAAAGTTGAAGCAGAGTACCGATGACTCTCTGTCACTCACATCCTCAAACGCTGAGTCTGTTTTCATAGAAGGTATGGTGTTGCTGAACATTTTTATTATCTACATTGACTGCCCCTTAAGCAAAGGCTTGGCCACAAGGGCCGAAGCCTGTGGAGATTCTGTTCCCTGAGGCACTGACTCTTTCAAAACTACTACAGGAAACTTTATCTAAATCTAAAGAACTCAAAAATCAAGGTTTGAGGTGGAATTCTGCTTGCTCAGAGAGGCTGAACAGCAAGTAGCTAACCTTCTTCCTTTGCCTGGGTCTTCCAAACAAACTCTACACATGATTCCTCCTTACCACTTCCTGCCCGCTACTTGTTGACTCAGCCTCCTGCTCTCAGGTTAATTTTATTTAACCAAACGCATCTTTGAATTGTTAACAAGCCGGCAGTGGTGGCGCACGCCTTTAATCCCAGCACTTGGGAGGCAGAGGCAGGTGGATTTCTGTGAGTTCCAGACCTGCCTGATCTATAAAGCGAGTTCCAGGATAGCCAAGGCTACACAGAGAAACCCTGTCTCAAAAATAACAACAAAAGAAAAAATGAATTGTTAACAAAAACAGGAAAAGATGCAGCACACTTTGAAGTTATGTCCCCAGCAGGAATGAATTCCCAGGGGTGCCACGGTTCCCTTCTCGGCCGGAGGCTTCAGCATGCCCTTGACAGGGATAGGGAGACTTGACAAGCACCAGCCTAATCAACAACCTCTGTCTTTCCCCCCAGATCCTTACATTGCCTCACTGAGGTGTGAGATCGAATCTGATGCCCATGAGTTTGAGGCTGAGTCCTGGAGCCTCTCTGTGGATTTAGCATATGCCAAGAAACAAAAGAAGGAGGTGGTAAAAAGACAGGATGTCCTGTATGGTAAGATGTCTAACGCCTACGTCACCCTGACAGCCCTCTTTAACTGTTCTCTATCCATTCTTCTGTAAAAATGCATTCGTGTGTGCGCTCGTGAGTGCGTGCATGCATGCGTGTGTGTGTGTGTGTGTGTGTGTGTGTGTGTGTGTGTGTCTGTCAGGGCTCCATGTGGAGATTAGACTACAACTTGGAAGAGTCAGTTCTCTCTACCATACAGGACACAGAGATCCAATTCAGGTCATCAGGCTTAGCAGCCAACACCTTTGCCCATTGAGCCACTTAACAGTCCTATTTTGTTTGTTTTGTTTTCTGAGATAGTCTCATAGCCTCAAACTCACCATGGCACCACCTCAAATAACCTTAAACTTCCTCCACCTTGCAAGCACTTGGGATTACAGACATGCACCACCCCACTTGGTTTCTGCAGGGCTGGTAAGAGAGCTCAGGCCTTTGTGCATGCTAAGCAAGCACTCTAACAACTGTGCTACATCCCAACCCCATTATTTTTTATTTTTTTAATTCCCTAAGTCCACCTAAGAGTCTGAGCTACTCAGCCAGCCTCTCAGGAGACCCTGTAATCTGCCCCACCTACCACTCCCCTGGGACAACCCTACCTGTTAGAGCAGGAAGGGCTTTGTTAGCACAGGTCCCTGCTAACCCAGCCTGGCCAAGAGCCTGGGGCTGACTCATTCTTACCTCGTTGGTGACTCTCCATCTGTTTGGGCTGCTATAACAGAATGTCATCAGCAGGGTGGTATTTAAATGAGTTTATTGCTCAAGTTTATAGTCACTAAGTTCTAGAGACTGAGAAGTCCAAGAGGGGTGCAGACTCAGAATTTGGTGAAAATCAGCTTCGTGGTCTTAGATGTCGCCTCCCTGCCCTGCCTTCAAATCATTTGAGGGACAAGAGCCTCATTTGTATGTCTGTTAACTTCAAATCTGAAACCTGCTGGCCACTGGCTGCATCTCTAACCTTCTTCTCATACACACATATGTGGATATACATGTCTATATAACACCTCCTATATGTATGAATGTCACCTACTGAGTCCAGTTAGCACTGCCCCCTATGTACATGTATTTAGGACTGACCCCTGGGGTGGGGGAGGGGCTGAAATGGTTCTCCCTCCTTCAGCAGCCGTTGGCTACTTGTAGGCCTTCATCTAGGGCCGGAGCCCTGTGAAGTAGTCTCCATCCGTGTTGGCATATGGTCTTCCAGGTCTTGTGCAGGTAGCCCAATTGTTGAGATTCTGGGGGTGTAGCATCCCTGTTCTACTCTCATGAAGCAGTTGACCCGGTCCTCAGGCTCTCCTTTTCCTTCTGCCTCTTCATGGTCTTCCTTGTGTCTGTATAACGGGCGAAGTCACCAAGTTTACACAGCAAGTGCCTTTAATCTCTGAGCCATCTAGCCAGCCCAGGATCCTTCCTAGTTTATAAAAATTTTCCAATCTGTGAAGATTCTACTTACCTGAGCACACTTCCCAGAAGCTCGCCATGTTTTTTATTAGTTTGTTTGATTTTGTTTTTTTAGGCAGGGTCTCACGTGTAGCCCAGGCTAGTATCAAAGTTGCCTATAACTAGCCAGGCACTAGTGGCGCATGCCTTTAATCCCAGCACTCAGGAGGCAGAGGCAGGCGGATCTCTGTGAGTTCGAGGCCAGCCTGGGCTACAAGAGCTAGTTCCAGGACAGGCACAATAAGCTATAGAGAAACCCTGTCTAAAAAAACAAAAAAAAAAAAAACAGTGCCTATAACTGAGTTGACCTTAAACCTCTGATCCTCTGGGGCTGGAGAGATGACTCAGAGGTTAAGAGCACTGGCTCCTTTTCCAGAGGTCCTGAGTTCAATTCCCAGCACCCACATGGTCGCTCACACCATCCATAAAGGATCCGCCTTCTGGCCTGTAAGCATACATGCAGGCAGAACACTATAAAAGTACTAAATAAATAAATCTTTAAAAAAAAAATCTGATCCTCCTGCCTTCACAGCCAGAGTTCTGGGGTGGCAGGCCTGGGCCACATACCTGGTTTATGGGATGCTGGGGGAGGAGGGGACCCAAGGCTTTGTTCATGATAGACAGACACTCCTACAGCCATGCCCTTAATAATATGGAGGTCAGATTTTAGCACCTGAGTGGACTGCAGACATTGGTCTATCAAGGTCTGTGTTTGATCACATACATGCAGAGACATGCAAGTTTCACCCCCCACCAAAGCTAGAAGTTCCTTCTTATGGCCTTCTTGAACTCAAGGATAGAGGCTTCTGGGACATTGAGGTTACACAGCTCACTCCTAAATACTTTCTTTTTTCATGCTGCTTTGGCTTCAGACTCACATAGCACTTTAGGGAGGGAAGACTTCTAATTAAGAAAGGCTAAAGGTCAAGTGTGATGGGATACACCTGTTGTCACTAAGGCAGGAAGGAAGGCATTTGAGTCAAACCAGCCTAGGCAACTCAGCAAGTTTAGGAATCAGTTGTGCCCCCACCCTGCTGAAGGGAGGGTAACCTTGAACTCTTTACTTGGCCACCTCTGCCTTCCACATACTGGAACTTCAGCAATACAGTGCCACATCCAGTTTCTTTAACGTGTTGAGGATGGACCCCAAGGCCGTCACCTACACAGCTAGATCCACAGCCCCAAGACTATTTCTTCTTTCCTATTGTTCATTTTGTTGTTGTTTGTGAGGATAGAACTTAGGGCCCCTGGCCTCCCTATGCACTCATATACATAAATATGTGTAATATACATATGTTGGGTGTGGCCACACAGAAGAAAGAAGACTGTGGTGTGTGTGTGTGTGTGTGTGTGTGTGTGTGTGTGTGTGTGTGTGTGCATGCGCGCAGGCCCGGAAAGCAGGCAGGGTCGACCCAGCTGCAGGAGGCCTATGGTAGCTGTGAGTACCCTGGGAGCCCAGGTGATCTTCCCCCACCTCTGTCCCTGCAGAGCTGATGCAGACAGAAGCACACCATGTGCGCACCCTCAAGATCATGCTGAAAGTGTACTCCAGAGCCCTGCAGGAGGAGCTGCAATTCAGTGGCCAGGCAGTGAGCCGCCTGTTCCTATGTGCTGATGACCTATTGGAAATACACAGCCACTTCCTTGCCCGCCTCAAGGAGCGCCGGCAGGAGTTCTTGGAGGAGGGCAGCGACCGGAATTATGTCATCCAAAAGATCGGGGATGTCCTGGTCCAGCAGGTAGGTACTGTGACCAGGATGGGTCACACCTCTCTCCACCCTGTCTTCCTTCTTTCTGATAAGATGATGACGCTGGTGTATCACATGCCCGCCATCCTAGAAAGCACACAGTGCCCGCTCTTGTCCAGCTGCTCGTGTCCTAGGAACACTGAGGCTGGAATGGCCTCAATCAAACATGTCCAAATACTGTTCAGAATTGTATTTTCAGTGAGGGATCTACCTCAGTTGACAGCACTTGCCTTGCATGCAGAAAGCCTTGAGTACCATTCCCAGCACTGCCCAGAACCTGGGCATGGTGGTTCCTGCCTGTAATCCTCTTGGGAGGATCAGGAGTTCATCATCCTCATGCAGCTCACCTGGCCCTCTTGACTTCCCTCTCCTGAGTGCTGGGCTCACCAGTGGTCCGATAACACCAGTTTATGCAGTGCTGGGGACTGTGGCCAGGGCTTTGTATGCTAGATGGACACTTTACTGAGTCACATCTCCAGCCCCCCCACCCCCGCTGCTCGAGGGTAGTATGCATGCCCGTGCAGGTGCCTCAGATGTCCTCCATCATTGCACATCTTTTTATTTTTGTTAAGATAGACTATTATGTGGGTGGTCGTGCCTGTGGCATGGTGTGCTTGAGGAGATCAAAGGACAGCTTCCAGGAGTTGTCCTCTCCTTCCACCATGTGGATCTCAGGGATCAAACTCAGGTCATCGAGCTTCACAACAAGTGTCTTACTTACCAAGCCTTCTTACTAGTCCTCTTCCTTCCTCCATCTCTCCCTCCTTCCCTCTCTCTTCCTTTCTCTCTTGTTTGTTTGTTACACAGGGTTTCTCTGTGTAACAGCTCTGGCTGCCCTAGAACTTGCTCTGTAGACTAGGCTAACCTCAAACTCAGAAATCCACCTGCCTCTACCGCCAGAGTGCTGGGATTAAAGTAGTATGCCACCATGCCAGGCTGGGTCAGGGGCTTTGGATGAACCTGGAGCTCAATGTTTTGATTGGTCAGCTGCCCAGCGAGTCCCTACAATCCTGCTATCTCTGCCCCCAAGCCTTGGGGTTACAGATGCATGCTGCCAGACCCATCCGAGGACCTAACTGAGCCTGGATGTTTATGCTGAGCCATCTCCAAAGGCCCCAGTCTTTGATGACTACAAGCATACATTTGGGCCAAAGTCATCTATTGTAGGGCTGCTTACTTCAGCTGGTCCCTTCTCATCCTAGGACTAGACGGGCAGAAGGGAGTGGGATCAAGAGTTTGAGGCCAACCTCACAACATAAGAAAACTCTGCACTAAAAATGAAAGAAATCATTCCCATGATCATTGCAGAAATGATATGAGACGGAAAACTTCCTTTTAGCACTCACTTATCTGTAGCGGTAGAGTAGGCCCCCCGACAGTGTGGCCAGAAGCATCTGAAGAGTGGGGACAGCAGAGCTCTTACCTCCTTGTGCTTGCACTGAGGCTCCAAGGACGTGTTTAGAGGAAACATTCCGGAAAAATACAGATCTTAGCACAACCAGACGAACTAGATGGAAACATACTCTGGCAGCATTCGCGGCTCATCATCGGCTAACTTCCATTACCTTTCCATGTTAGTTCTCAGGGGAAACCGGAGAGAGAATGAAAGAGAAATACGGTGTGTTCTGTAGTGGCCACAACGACGCGGTCAGTCACTACAAGTTACTGCTGCAGCAGAGCAAGAAGTTTCAAAACTTAATCAAGGTAAAAAAACAAAAGCCTGTGTGTTTTCTGTGTATGAGAGAATGTGAGTGTATGGTGTTTGTACGGCACATCTGTGGCAGGCAGAGGGATAACCTTGGGTGTCGGTTTGTACCTTCTACCTTGTTTGAGTTATCGACTCTCTTGTTCGCCACCAGACTAGTTGACCTTGGAGCTTCTGGGGATCCCCTGTCTCTTACCCCTACCCCATTTCAGGAGTACTGTGATTACAGACATGCACCATCATATCTGACTTAACGTGGGTGCTAGGCATCCAAACAGTTCCTCATGTATGGGTGGCAAACCCATGAGCCACTGAGCCATATCCCAGGCCGTTGTTTTGGTTTTTTGAGACAGGATCTTGCTATGTATCCCGTTCTGGCTTCAAATTCGCAGATCCTCCTGCCTCGGCCTTCCAAGTTCTGTGATTACAGGGGTGTACCTCCGTGCCAGCCTCACCCTTGTATTCGTTCATTTCCTGGCAGGGTCTCATGGAGTCCGTACCAATGATAAACTCTCTGTGTAGCAGAGGATGGCCCTGAATTCCTGGTCCTCCTGTCTGGGCCGCCCAAGTATTGGAGTCAGGACTGCATCCCCACAGCCACTTTCTGTGTTGCTGTGGATGGAGCCCAGGGTCAAGCACACCACCAGCTGAGCCACATGCCCTCAGTCCTTCTGAGACCAGTGTATGGTTCTGGCTAGCCTCCAGTTAGAATTACAGGCACATGCCATGACAACCAGCCTTGTGGGTTCTTTAAGGCATTGTCTCACCCAGGGAACCACCCTCCAGAACTATCCCAGCTTCTTAGAGTTCTATGAGGTATGCATTCTCTAAACCTTTCTCCTTTGGCTGGTCCCTGTGACTCTCCACAGGGCGGTCAAGACAGCTTCGTGGGTAAATGTGCTTGCTGTTGTCAAGCCTGATAACCATATTCTGGACCCAGTTTCCACATGATGGAGAAAACTGATTCTGAAAGTAGTCCTCTAACCTTCAAACCTCCACACGAGCACATCAACAAAACTAAGTAAACAGATGTAAAAAAAAAAATAACAGCAGAACACTAAAAAAAAAACAAAACAGGTATGATACACAGTCATTTCAAGGCTTAAGAGGTGGAGGCAGGAGAATCAGGAGTTCAAAGTCATCCTCACCTGCACAGGGAGCTTGAGACCAGCGTGGGCTACATGAGACCCTTCCTCAGCAAAAGAACGAGGAAGGAAGGGAGGGAGGGAGAGAGGGAGGGAGGGAGGGAGGGAGGGAGGGAGGGAGAAGGAAGAAAAGAGGAGGAAAGCACAGTGGGGGCAGAAGCAGCAATGAGGGAGATCCAATGAAACCTATATTCAGGGACTCTTCAAAAGCTCCTCCGTGACTCTGGTGCTCTTTAAGAAATAGCTCTTTTTGTTGGGGCTCAGTTGGTAGAGTGTTTCCTTAGCATGCACAAAAACACTGGGTTGGTTTTGGGATTTTTTTTTGTTTGTTTTTGTTTTTTGAGACAGGGTTTCTCTGTAGCTTTGGAGTTTGTCCTAGAACTAGGTCTTGCAGACCAGGCTGGCCTCAAACTCACAGAAATCCACCTGCCTCTGCCTCCTGAGTGCTGGGATTAAAGGCAGGCACCACCACCACCCGGCTTATTTTTATTTGTTATTTAAGGTAAGATTTTGCTTTGTAGACCAGGCTAACCTCAAACTCAAGATCCTCCTGCCTCAGGCCCCCCTCCCCCCAGTGTTAGGATTATAGGCAAGCCCCACCATATCTGGCTTAAATTCCTCTTTAACAGATCTTACTAAGTGCCCACACACTTGTAACCTTTCCATATTTAGAAGACAATTCCTATTTGGGGGTCATAGAAGAAGGAAAAGGTCATGGCTAGGTGAAAGGGCAGGAGTTCCTGGCCTGAGATATTTAACTGATTCAGCAGGAAGCTGAACCTAGTAGTTCAGGTCTCTCTGTAACCTCAACTTCTTAGAAGGCTGAAGCAGAAACATCTTACAAAAGCTGTACTGTCTCAACTACAAAAAGGGCTGAAGAGATGGCTTAGGTCTTAGTGCTAGCTGCTTAGCCACAAGTTTGCAGTTTGGATCCCAAAGCCCTTGTAACAAGCCTGGCATTCAGCACATGCAACCTCAACTCTGTTGTGGGCTGAAGAAGACAAGAGAGTCTTTGAGACTTTCTGGCTTCCAGCCTTGACAAGAAAACAGAAACTCCAGGTTCAAGGAGAGACCCTGCCACAAAGGGTCAGGACATGGCAGCATAGCCATAGCACAGGCCTCTAATAGAAGCATTAAGGCCAGCGCTGGTCTGTATAGTGAGACATAGTATCTCACTGTCGAGAGAGAGAGAGAGAGAGAGAGAGAGAGAGAGAGAGAGAGAGACTAAGTGAAGAGTAACTGGGGGGACACCCAATGCCCTCTTCTGGTCTTTGAACACATACTCATACAGACCCCAAAAAAGGAGCATGTTACCCTAGCATAATAGTACATACAGGTAATCATCAAACCATGTGTGTGTTAGACTGTCTGTCTGCCTGTCTGTCTGTCTGTCTTGAAATACAGATCAGTGATAAGAGTATTTGTTCAGCATGCCTGAGGTCCTTGGTGCAACTACAAACACAAGGGAGTGGGGATGGTGAGGGAAGGAAGGAAGAAGGACGGAGAGCTGGGTGTGGTGCACATCTTTAATCTCAGCACTTGGGAGGCAGAGGCTGGTGTTCTCTGTGAGTTCCAGGACAGCCAGGGTCACATGGAGAGACCCTGTCTCAAAAATATCCAAAAATAAAAGAAGGTAGAAGAGAGAAAGAGATATTAAAACAAGCTATTTCTTTTCCATTTCACAGAAAATCGGCAACTCTTCCATTGTGCGACGGCTGGGAGTTCAGGAGTGTATCCTTCTGGTCACACAGCGTATAACCAAGTACCCAGTACTGGTGGAGCGTATCATCCAGAACACGGAAGGTAGGAACACACTGCCACACTCGTGGGTCAGGGTGGATGGCTGTCTCAGTCCACCTGCTCTGGAGTTTATCAATGGACTGGCCAAGATCCCTCTTGTAATCTACTTTACTGGGTGCTAGGCAGTCAGCAGATGAGGATTGAAGCTGGGTGAACCTTTGCCCTTAGCAAAGGCTAGACCATGACAGGGCCCAGGTCAGTATCTGTAAACTGGACATGAACTAGACGAAAACAAGATGATTCCTGGGTTAGTAAAAAATGATTTCTAGGACTGGAGAAATGGCCCAGCCATGAGAGCACAACTACTCTTCCAGAGAAACCCGGGCTTGAGTCCTAGCACCCACATGGTGTCTCACAACCATACACGACATGAGTTCTGGGGGACTGGACTCTTACGCCCTCTTCTGTCCTCCACGGGCACTATACTATGGAGCACAGGCATACATGCAACAAAATACTTACACATGTAAATAAAAATAAAAAGAAATGACCTCTCTGAGTTATATGTCCAGGGCAAGATCTGAGCTGGTGCAGTGGGCATAGGTGTTCTCTCGGCATGAGGGGGCCTTGTACTGTGTAACACTTTTCCTGGGAGACTTTAACAAATGCCTACTCATCCCAGACAGTGATTGGGAACTAACAACCGACCAGTGTAACCTACCATCAAAGTACAACTTGGTGAACCAATGATTCTTGCGGTTACTTAAGAGCATAGATAAACAGTTACTTATAGGAGTAGGGGTGACTGGAAGGCAGCTACGTCACCAAAAGCCACCACAGCATGTGTGTTAGGACTCAAAAAAGCTGGAAGCTTGGATCTCTCTGCAGGACTTGCAGGCAACTAAACATGGAGCATGTCCTCACGTGAGCAGCCCTTAATGTTTTCATAATCTTAGGGAGACCTGCTGTATGACTCTGAGTTTCAGGGACTTCCTGAGTCTTAACAACTTTCCTCCAGAATAGAACATTTTAATTCAGAGGAAATTGCTGTCCAACAGATAGGCAGGAAGATCCACATGTTCTACACTAACCTGGGCTGCATTATGAGACCCTGATTCAAGAGTCAAACAGAAAGAAGAAAAGGATGACATCTGATGGCCACAGAGAGCACAGCAGAAAGGTCATGTAGCATGCCAGGTGCTCATGGGAGCAGGGACGATGACCGCCCCTCTCAGATATCTGCCAGGTTTGGGTCATGAGGAAATGGCAAGTTTCTCTACTGTGTCCTTCAGGTGATAGGGCCCTTCTGTTGAATGGAACAGGAAGTAGAAGCAGTCATTTTATGAAGAGCTAAGGACTTGAGGGGAATCTGTCTATAATGATGGTAGGTGTGTGTGTGTGGTGTGCTGGGTACTTTGTTTGAACCACCACACCTAACTTTTTAAACTCTATGCCAAGCATGGTGGCAAGAGGTGGAGGTAGGAGGATCTTCTACTAGTTTGAGGCCAACTTGATTCACACTGAATTCTAGGCTAGCCAGGGCTACAGATCAAGATCTTGTTTCAACAAAACAAAGGCCGGGTATCATGGCATACTCCTTCAGTCCTAGAACTCTCAGAGGCAGGTGGATCTCTGAGTTCCAGGACAGCCAGGGCATGTGAAGAGACCCTGCTCTGCCTCAAAAAAGAAAAAGCAAAACAAAATTAGCCAAGTATGGTATTGCAGGCCTGTAGTTCTAGTACCTGGGAGGTGTAGGGGGCAGAGCATCAGGAGTTCAAGGTCATTCTCTATAGGAACCTATGCTACATGATATCCTGTCTCAAAAAATAATTCAAACAGAGACAAACTGAGTTCATTAAACTCTGGGCTATTACTAATTTTGGAGAACCATTCTCCTCTCAGAAATTACAGTTGGCAGAGGGTTCTGAAAGACCTCTAAGCAGTGGCCCTAGGAAATGAATGTACCCATAGATCCCATCCAGATGTGGCACATCCACTTCTGCTGTGTTTGTGAGCGTGGGCACAAAGACAGTGCTGCCTCTGCTTATGTGTGACAGCTGGCACTGAGGACCACAAAGACCTGAGCCAAGCCCTGAACCTCATCAAAGACATCATCTCACAAGTGGATGCCAAAGTCAGTGAGTATGAGAAGGACCAGCGCCTCAGGGAGATCGCAGGCAAGGTGGACTTGAAGTCATCCAGCAAACTCAAGAATGGGCTTACCTTCCGCAAGGAGGACATGCTGCGGCGCCAGCTCCACCTAGAGGGCACCTTGTGCTGGAAGTCCACATCAGGACGCTTGAAAGGTAAATGTCTGCCTCTGGCCACCTCTGGTGGGTTTCATGTTGGCTCCACAGAATACAACCTTGCAGTTCTGGCAGCTGTGTTAGAGTGACAGGCACCATCTGGATGGTTTGGGCTCTATCTTAGATTATATTCCATCTTGAATTGGCACTAAATGACAGGAACAAGACCAAACTCGCACCGCTTGAGTGTTTTCAGGGTTAGAGGAAGCAGTGGACTACAGAGAATAGACTGGAGGAAGAGTTTAATTTAGACAAGATCATCAGAAATGGCTCTTCCAGGGATGGTGCTGTAGCTCAGTTGTGTGCTTGCCTAGCATGCATGAGGCCTTGGTTTCCAGCCACAACACCAAGTAATCTTGAGCATAGTGACTGTCAGCTCTAGGGAAGCAGAAGCAAAGGGATTCTCAGCGACAGATCAAGTTGGAAGCCAGAGTAGGATCCATGAGACCCTGCCTCAAAAAGGGGTAAAAAAGAAAAAGAGGCTCCCTCTAAACATTAGTATCTGCACTCCTGTGACTCGTGTGCAAACGTCTCACTGTGAGAGGTGTTCATACAGTCACAGGGATAAAGCACCAAGCGGGACTGGGACTTAAGGGAGCTGAGGCCAGCCCTGCCTCCATCTTCGCAGCCGGAGACAAGATATGACCTGGGATAGAAAGAGAAGTGCATTTCAACAAAGAAACCACCTAGAGGCTGGAACAATGATTCAGTGGGTAAAGTGCTTGCCTGAGTTCAGTCCCCAGCCAGGCATGGTGATACATGCCTGTAACCCTAGTACTGTTTACACTACTTTAGCCACGTGTGGTGGAAGTATAGATCCAACTTGCACAACTTGTCCTCCAACCTTCACATACACACTAGAGCATGCACACACCTTCCTTCTAGCCAATTTCCTCTGCATGCCATACACACACATCAAAAAAAAAAAAAAAAGCAGGACGTGATTAAGGAAGATACCCCGTATCAACCCCTAGTGTATGCACATATACATGCACAGATGCACCCACACAAATGTGTGCACATATGCATGAACATATATATGGATTACTTGTGTACCCATATGCACAAAATAGCAACGATAATAAATGAGGGGCTGGAAAGATGGCAAAGTCTCTAAGCGTACCTGTTGCTCTTATAAAGAACTCTAAATTTGGTTCCCAGAACCCACACTGGGCAGCTTACAGCTGCCTGTAACTCCAGCTATAGGAACCCAGCAGCTCTACTCACTGAGAGCACTTACATACATGCACAAGGCCACACAAACACCCATGCACACATAGTTAAAAATAAATCCTTGAGCGAGGCTTGGTGGTGCACACCTTTAATTCCAGCACTCAGGAGGCAGACACAGGCGGATCTCTGTGAGCTCAAGGCCAGCCTGGTCTACAGAGCAAGTACCTGGACAGGCTCCAAAGCTACAGAGAAACTCTGTCTCGAAAAACCAAAAATAAAGTAAAATAAAAATAAATAAAAAATGAAAATTCTTAAGCCAGGCGGTGGTGGCACACATCGTTAAGGCAGAGGTAGGCAGATCTCTGAGTTCGAGACCAATCTGGTCTAGAAAACAAGTTCCAGGACATCCAACGGCTACACAGAGAAACCAGAAAGCAAGAAAAATAATGAAATAACCGAATGGGACATGGGAGCTCTAGCTTGAGTTCTGAATTTTCTGAGCGGGAGCCTCTGGTGTTCATTTACGCTGAGTCTCCAAACTCAGGTACTTTGTGGAAAGGGATGAGTTAGGATGGGAATTCCTAGGAACAAGAGGCTGAAGCATTGTGGTGCTTCCCTTTTGAGCCCTTCTGGGCACGTGGTCTCTAAGACTATCCTCCGTGTGCTGTTTTCTGCAGATGTCCTCGCTGTCCTGTTGACTGACGTGCTTCTGCTGCTGCAGGAAAAAGATCAGAAATATGTCTTTGCTTCTGTGGTATGTGCCTAACGTCTTCCCAGGTCCCATATCCTTGCTTCCATGGCATGTGTCTGATGTCTTCACAGGCCCCACTTGCTGGGGCCATGCCGAGGTGGGCCCCATAGAGGGATGTCCAAGACAAGACATGGAGAGGAAACACAGATGGGGTGTAATATACTGAGAGACACCCTGTCTCATGATCCTTCCAGAAGGTTCCAGCCAATGGGCATCAATAGAATGTATAGGGGATGAGAACCTGTCTTGCTTCCTGGTATGGCTCTGGTCCTCATTGAAAGGTCTCCGGTGGGAGGGCCTTAAAGGGGACACTGAGGTAGTTGTCCTTGGGTAAAAAGTTTATTAAAAGAATTAGTAATGCCATAAGCAGATGGCAGTGTGGAAAGGGCTCTAAACAGAGTTCAAACGCAGAAGGCAGAATAGGGACCATTCTTTATAGGGATGAAAGGAGAGAGGAGGTTCACATAAGCTGTCTCTGATTTCTGGGTGGCAGAGAGAAGGGACAGAATGGCAGGGTAGGAATATGTCACTCTAAGAGTGTGGGAGAAGTGAGGGGCGCATCTAGTTGAGTCTGTGAACTTACATGGGGACATGAGAATGGTAAGCATCATCCTTCTGGAATGATACCCGGCGGTAAAACAATCTGCTCTAAGGATGGAGCTGGAGAGGGCTGCAGGTGGGCGTAACTTAAACAGTGTCTGGTCGGGGGTTAAGCACTTCCTTCCTGGAGTGCCCAAGGAGCTGTTACAGATTCACAGACACATTCTCTATACTGGGGTGCAGAGGGCTTTACCTATAGCTATGAGGCTAGGGAGAAAGGGAAGGGCTGCTGCCTGATTATCCCCTAGCCCATGATCTAAAACATCCTCAGTCTTTCCAGCCTCACTGTCTTTGTGTGTCCAACATCCCCGGGTACTCACAGGCCCTAGGGTCTGGCCCAAAGAACCTTATCTTAGTGTATGGATGTTGGATGTACTGGTATGGCAAATGGTAAAAAGCCTCTGCTCTGGGGGTCTGTAGAGAAGGGGATGGGACAGGAAGCAGAAGAAAAGGACCTAAACTGAGTTTATGTGGCACACTAATAAAGCCCCAAATTGAAATCTGCACCATTTACATAGACAAAGGACACTAAGACCCAGAGGTTCCACATCAAGATTGTCAGCTGTTCAGTCCCTGAGTAAGTCTGGAGAGTGGCCATGCTCTCTATGGGATGGGCATCAGAAAAATGAGAGAGAAAGGTAAGGGGGGTGAGGACAGGTGGACCTGAGGGAATGGTGTGGGGCCCCAAAATCCCTGCGTTTTCAGCTCCAAGTGTTAGATCGGGACTTATGGAGGTGATGTGGAAATAAGAGCATCCTGACCTCTGCCAATGCAGATTGTTCTTTAATCAAAACGAAGGACTGCAGACTCTGCAGGGGTGGAGATGGGGCCAAGGCCAATGGCTTAGTGTCTTATAGGGCAGAAATGGAACCCTTGAGGTGGACAATTCCATCCGTTGACCTTAAAGCACCTCAGGAATTCTCCCACCCCTTGTCACCCCATCCCACCTTTCCATAAACCGGGTCAGACTATTTTTGTCACAAAAGCTGCCCCCCCTCTTTAGCCACCACAGTTTCACACAAGGCATAGGTGTCAGTGTGATAGCTGTGTGCCCCACCCGCACTCTCAGAAGACTTTGGGGCATTAATAGACTTGAACCAGGAAACACGCAAGCACCATCATCTTCCTAGACCCGCTCGTCCTCCTCCCTCCTGTACAATATCTCAGATGGATCTCTGTGTATCCCAGGTGAGACGTAAAGTAGCCTGTCTTAGTCCCCAGAAATACAAGGACAAGTCAACCGCAGCACCCAGTGTTAATATGTTCAGGAGTTCTTAGACAGGAAAGCACACACACACAAAAGAAAAATCATCCAAGCTGGCTTAATTGCATACACCTGTCATCTGAGGGTATGTAAATTCAGGGCCTTATATAATATAGCCCAGGTTGGCCTGGAGCTCACTGTTTAGCTGAGGCTGGCCTTGATCTTCTGAACTTCCTACCTCCACATCTTAAGTGTTGGGGTGACAGACCTGTGACTGGCTCAGTCTTACAGTCCTATAAGGATACCAGTTCTATTGGTTTGGACCGCTGGAAAGATGAGTCTTGTTTAACATGACTTTATCTTTAAAGATCCTGCCTCTGCACACCATCACATTCTGAGGTGCTTGGGCTTAGAACCTCAATATATAAGAGGGTCTGGGTAATTTAACTCAGAACACTACTTGATGTGCCTTTTGAGGTCAGCAGGTGGCCCCATGGGTAAAGATGCTGCTGCAAGGCTTCATGACCTGAGTTCAATACCCAGAACCCTCATGGTGGAAGGAGAGAGCCAGCTCCCACAAGTTGTCCTCTGATCTCCACAGGTGTACCATGCATGCATGTGCATGCACACATGCATGCTCTCACTCATACAAAATGTTAAAAAAAATATTAATAACAGAAAAGAACTATGCCCTATGCCAGGTATGGTGGTGCACGCCTGAAGTTCCAACACTTGGAAGCTGAGACAGGGCCGCTGTCAACTTGAAGCCAGCCGGGTTTCACAATGAGTTCAAGCCCTCAAGAGGCATTAAAAGGAATACTAGGATATCGATTAAATAGTCTCCAGTTAGTAAAACATTCCTGCTTTGTGCTGGCATGACTCTTTAGTACTTGAAGACCTGAGCTCACTCCCTAGAGCCCATATGAAAAAGTAGGGTGTGGTGGCACACACTCGTGCCCCCGTGCTGGGGAGACAGATCCCAGGGGCTCACTGGCTTACCTGCCTGACCTACTTGGTGAACCTCAGGACACTGAGAAACCATGCACCCGAGGAACAACAGCCAAGATTCATCTGCCTTCCGTGAAAATGCATGTATACACTGGGAGTGGGAGCAGGGTTCTAGTGCTGTTTGACTATAGCAGGACAACAGTTAAGTTTCCATCACCTTCCCCCTGCAGGACTCAAAGCCGCCCATCATCTCTCTGCAAAAGCTAATTGTGAGAGAAGTGGCCAACGAGGAGAAGGCCATGTTTCTGATCAGTGCCTCCATGCAAGGACCGGAGATGTATGAGATCTATACCAATTCCAAAGAAGACAGGAACACCTGGATGGCTCACATCCGCAGAGCCGTGGAGAGGTGAGCCCAGGGTCTTCTGCCTCCTTAGGCAGGCTCTTCCTGCCCAGTCATGCTCTCAGGATTGAGAAGCTATTCTCATTTGACTTTGACCTCCCAGACAGATCCCTTCATTGGTTGGTTGATTTTTGAGAAACAATCTCATGTAGCCCAGGCTGGCATCCAGCTCACTGTGTAGCCCAAGATGAGCCTTATTATCTTCCTGCCTTCACCTCCCAGGTTCTGGGATGAAAGGTAGGGCACCACTGTACCCAGTTTATACAGTGCCAGGGATGAAACCCAGAGTCATGAGTGTAAGTGAGCACCCTACCAACCGAGCCACCCAGTCCCATGAGGAAATCATGTCTCACATGAACTGCTCCTTCTAATAATGGCCAACCTGTCACAGTGCTGAAAAGGCCTGGATATTTCTGTATAAGGTGTGCAAGGGACCAGGCAGTTCTAAATTGGACCTTTATTGTGGGCCACTCAGATAAACAGTTTGAGGCCAGCCTTGTTGGAGCAGGTTATAATATCCTCTTTATTTCTCAGACTGAGCGCCCTGCAGATCTCAGTCTAGTGCCTTATCTCTTCCCCCTGCCTGAACCAGAATCTGGCTGACAGGTGGGCATGGAGATTAGTCCAGCCTCCAGCTATAGCCAGCCTCCTGCTCCATATTCACACCATGCTTAGAAGCTTCAGCTCCGAGTGGTCCACAGCTCCCAGTATCTGACAGTCATCCACAGCTGGGCACTGACCACCTCCTCCATGTCACAGCTGGGCACTTTAAACCTGTACATGAGGAGCTTGAGAAATGGCTCAGTTAATGCTTACTGCTTTTGCAGAAGACCTGAATTAAGTTACTAGCACCCACATAGTGTGGCTGCTCACAACTGCCTATAATTCTAGTTCAGGGGATCTGATGCTTTTTTCTGGCCCCCATTACGAGCACATACATGGCATGTGCACAAACATACATATAAATTAAATGTATCACAGTTTTTAAAATTTTGTGCAAGAAGTAGAATTTGGTGCTGTGTACCTGTACCCCCCACATTAGGAACCTAAGGCAGGAGGATCAGAAGTTCTCCTGGGTAAGCCCTGACCCTTTGAGAGCTGTTGTGTATTGACTCCCTTCCTCCTCGTCCTTCAAGCTAAGCTCCTCACAAAAGTAGTGTACAGAACGAACCTAGGGTTGTAACTTGGTAACATGCTTACCCAGCATGCACAAAGCTCTCAGTCCAAGCCCCAGCACCATATAAGCTGGTTGTGACAGTACATGCCTGTAATCCCAGCACTTGATGTAGTAGAGGCAGGAAGTTCAGAAAATCAAGGTTGTCCTTGGCCAGAGTAGTCTGGGTCTAGCCTGGGACACGTGTTGCCTTGTTGGTTGTTGTTGTTGTTGTTGTTTGTTTTTTAAAAAAACAAATAGGTGGTGGTGATTACACCTTTATCGCAGCATTCACGTGGATCTCTGAGCTTGAGGCTAGCCTGATCTACAAAGGGAGTTCCAGGACAGCCAGGACTACCCAGAGAAACCCTGTCATGAAAACCAAATAACAACAAAACCCAGCAGTGCACAGGGAGACATAGGTCAGTGGAAGAGCCGTTTCATAGCTAATACAGGCCCTGGTTCAATAATCTTTTTTTAGTTTTCTTCGAGACCAGGTTTCTCTGTAGCTTTGGAGCCTGTCCTAGAACTAGCTCTTGTAGACCTGGCTGGCATCGAACTCACAGAGATCTGCCTGCCTCTGCCTCCTGAGTGCTGGGATTAAAGGCGTGCACCACCACTGCCCGGCCTGGCTCAGTAATCTTTTCATAATTACATTTCTTTATTGGAGAGAAAGTGAGCCATGGCATGCATGCAAAAGTCAGAGGACAACTTTTGGGGTTAGTTATTCTCTTCTATTCTGTGAGTCCTGGGGACTGAATTCAGGCACGGACACGCCAAAAGTGGGTGTTGGATGTTTTCTGTCCCTCTACCTATTCTGCTGAGGCAGGGTCTCTTGTAGATCTGGGGCTCCATTATCCCCCAAGCCATCCCCCCAGCATAAGGAAGAGAGAAAAGGGATGCTCTGTGGTGCTGCTATCAGAACATGGACCATGTGACATTGATGGCAGCTGTCCCCTTTGCCTGCAGCTGTCCAGATAAGGAGGAGGGCTCCTCCATCAAGCCTGAGGAGAGAAGGATGAGTGAAACCTTCACCCTGAGACTCCGGGACTTTCAAGGTAAGAGGGGTCAGCACTGTGAGCTGTAACCCATGGTCCCACATCAAGTTTATGCCTCCTCATTGAGGACTAATGTACAATGTCACCCATTTCAAGAGTTCAGTTCATGGCCAGGGAGATGGTTCAGTAGGTAGAGTGCTTGACTAGCTTGCATGAGGCCCATGGGCTCCAACCCCAGGACCACAAGTGTCAGGAGTTCAAGGTCATCTTCAGCTATGTGGTGAGCAAATCTAGCCAGAGCTAAAGATTGCCTCAAAGATAGATAGATAGATAGATAGATAGATAGATAGATAGATAGATATGATTAAAAAATAAGACATCACAATAAAAAATAAGTGACTGGAGCCAGACATGGTGGCTGCACACCTTTAGTACAGCACTCAGAAGAATTTTATGTGTATGGGCAGTGTGCATTTTGCCTGCATGCATGTCTGTGCACTACATGCATGCAATGCATGCAGAAGCCAGAAAAGGAAGTTAAAGGCAGTTGTGAGCCACCCAGTGGATGCCAGGAATCAAATCTGGGTCCTCTGCAAGAACAACAAATGTCAAATGTTCTTAGCTACTGAGCCATGTCACTAGCCCCAAGATTGATAAACTTGGAGGCTGAGGTGAGAGGATTGATGGGAATTCAAAGCCAGCCTGCATCATTCAGCTATTACCAGGTGAACCAAGAGTGTATAACAAGATGATGTCTAAAAACAAGAAATTAATTAATTACAACCCTGTTTTCTGGGCTGACAGGATGGCTTAGCAGGTAACGGTAGCTTGTTACCACATCTGACAACCCAGTTTCAGTCCCTGGAACTGACATAATAGAACCAACAGCTCCAAGTGGTCCTCTGACTACCACATGCAATCTATGGCATGCATGCCATGTAATACACAAATAAGGGAATAATGTTTAAATAATGTTTAAAAACAACCCCTCGGTTTTCTAACATAAAATTTTAAGAATTTAACGTTTTTAAAAAATTTTTAAGCTAGGTGTGGTAGTTCACACTCACACCTATAATCCATGTACTTGGGTGGCCAAGGCAAGGGGATCTCCAGCCTGCAGAAGAGTAAAATCCTGTCTCAAAAAACAAACAAAACAGATGATGGTGGTGCCCGCCTTTAATCTCAGCACTAGGGAGGCAGAGGCAGGCCTGGTCTGGAAAGCAAGTTCCAGGACAGCTGACGCTACACAGAGAAGCCCTGTCTCAAAAGACCAAAAAACAAACAAAACCAGGGGCTGGAGAGACGGCTCAGCGATTAAGAACGCTTGCTCCACAACCATGTGGGCCAGCGTTCAGACCCAGTCCCCACATAACAGACCAGATGTCCTGCATACACACCTGTAACCCGAGGTCTGAGAAGTGCAGAGACAAGGGGATTGCCAGGATTACAATCTATGGCTTACAGACATAGAGCCCCAGCTTTGAGGAGAGATTCTCCTCCAGTTAGTACACAGAGTGACAGAGGACACCTGATGTCATCTTCTGGTCTCCATGCATGCACACAGATGTCACACCCAAATGCATATATGTATACTCATACATGAATAAATATGGGGGAGGGGGTTTGAGACAGGGTCTTTCAGTAGTCCTGGCTGCCCTAGAACTCACAATGTAGATCATATATCCTCCTGAATCTGCCTCCCAAGTGCTAGGATTAAAGGCATGTACCACCACGTCCAGCAAATAAATCTTAAAAACAAAACAAAGCCCTGGGCTGGCAAGATGGCTTAGTGAGTAGACACTTGGCTGCCAAACCTGATGGCCCAAGTTCAATACCCAGATTCCACGGAGTGAAGCAACTCAACTCCTGCAAGTTAGCCTCTGACCTCCACACGCTGTGTGCCCACGCATATACACAAATAAATAGATGTAATGTAAAATTTTTACATTAAAACGTATATTGTCTTCCAAGGCTTCTGTTCCAGACTCCTGCCTGTCCACACTTACCTGCCATTTGGTGTTCACAGTGGGGATGGGAGGAGGAGCTGAGAGGACAGGACCATACTAGTCGGTGTTAGAGGGCAGATAGGGGGTGCGCCTTTGAAGTTACAGGTCAGTTGGGCACCCCACCCTCACAGTCTGGCTCCAAGAGCAGGTCTCTGGGGCTGACCACCACCTCTGGGTCCTCTATAGAACGACTGAGCCTGAAAGACCAGCTGATCGCACAGAGCCTTCAGGAGAAGCAGCAGATCTACCTGGAGATGGCAGAGCTGAGTGGGCTGGATGAGTCAGCCCAGTGCCGAGGCCTCTTCCGAGGAGGCGGGGACCCCTCTGAGACCCTACGGGGGGAGCAGATTCTCAGATTAGCCATGAGTGAGAGTAAGTCAATCGTCCCATTATGGTATGTTATGATATTGTAAGGGTGGGCTGCATGTGGGTCCAAAGCCAGGCCCTGACTCTGTGTGGCTGACCTTACCTGGGACCACTGTCATTTTGCTTTCTTGTGATTCGGGGAACCCAGCATGTGCAAGAACTCTACAACCAAGCTACACCCCAATTCTTTATGTGCTTTCTCTGCCAATCAACAAACACTCCCTGGGTGACCTGGTTAACCCCAGAGGTCTAAAGTTGACTCAGGGCTAGGGCTGTGGCTCTGTTGGTAGGGTGCTTGTCTAGCGTGTGTGAAGTCCTGGAATCCCAGCACTTGGGAGACTGATGCAGGGGGACCAAAAGTTCAAGGTCATCCTTAGCTCCTTAATGAATCTGAAGCTCATCTGAGAGGCATGAAAGACTTGTCCTCAGGGGGAAAAATAAAGCCTGGGCCTAAGAAGTGGCCAGCAGGTAGGAGTGCTAACTTCCATGTATGACAGCCTGAGTACAATCCTAGACATCCACGTGAGAGAAGGACAGAATCAACTCCTGCAGGTTGTCCTCTGACAGCCACATGTGTGCTGTGTTACATGTGTGCATTCATACACACAAGAAATAAAATGTAATTAAATTTTCTGAGTAAAATCCAGTTCCCTGATACAGATCCTTCTTTTCTGGGACAGTCCCCAATAATATTCTCAGGAAAATGTATATACATTTTGAGGGACTTATGGAGTTCGGAAAAACACCCTTGACTTGGGCCAGAACTCCAACTCAAGCTCCAGCAGGCTGCCAGGCATTAACAACCATTAAACCACTGGATACATATAACCTGCTGTCTCCATACACATTCTACCCTGACCATGCAGAGACCCCTCTGCCAGCCTCAAGGCTGGTAAGGGGAACCTTCAGTGATACAGGAGCTCCTAACAGCGCCATTGCAGCCACCAGGGCCCCATGATGTCCAGGAAGGCAGCCAATGTAGTGGCTCTCTTCCATCAGCAAGTCAGACCACTCAGCCCCTTGCCTGCACAGCTTAGCCACGACCCTCCAGCCACACCCACACTGCCCTTCCACTTCCGTCTCCTGAGGCCATTGTTCCTGGCCTCCAGTGACACAGATCTGGTACATGGGTTGGGAATGTTCTCCCTGCCTCTTCACCTGGCTAGAGACTTTGAATGGTAGAGGGTCATTGAAGGGTTTGTAGACCACCCTTACCCCATGGGCAGCCCTCCTGTTCAGCTCTCACTTTATGTGTTTGCTGCTAAGCCTAGGTAGGGACTGGTGCATCACATCCCTAGGCCTGGCTTGGGGCCTAGATTTCAGTAGCACCCTGAGGAACTGGAGAGAAAAGTCACCGAGCCCATATGGCTCCTGTCTATATGTTGTGTGACACTTTTTTTTTTTGAGGAGACATGAACGTATACATCTTCACCCTAGACAGGGAACTAATGACAGACTGAAGTAACAATAACACCAGTCCAACTTGGTAAACCAGTAAGTTTGTAGAGATCACTTACAAGCAGTGGTGAGGGATTACTTACAACTTAAAGGCAGTTGCATCACTGAAAGCCACCCCAGCCTAGATGACAACTAATGAAAACTGGGACCCTGGAGCTCTCTTCATGACTTGCAGGCAAAGTTGGCTGAACTGGTTGGGAGAGTCTCTTTTCCCCAGCAGTCCTTTCTATTTATATTATTTCTGGTAAGTTTCAGGGACTTCCTGAGATTTGTGCATTGTTGACTTCCTAAGTCTTACCATGCCTCCTTTCAGAACTTCCTGAATCTTATGGAGCCTCTCTCTAAGATAGGTTGTTTTCAAACCCAATGGCTTCCCAATTTCCTTAGCTTCTCCCTTAGACACTGAGGATGATGGCTCAGAATTTGGCTCCATTATTAGAGTGCTTGCCTAACACTGGGCTCTGTCCCCAGCACTGCCAAAGCCAAAGTAATAGTGTATAACTATCATCGCAGTACTCAACTGCCACGCTTGTTTCTGACTCCGGTCTGGGCTCCCTGCCACCCTGGCATAACCCCCACCACCTGTTAACTCACGTCCCCTACCTCTCCTTCACAGTTGAGGGCATCCAAAGCCTGATTTGCCGGCGGCTGGGCAGCACCAGTGGCCAAGTGGAGGAGGGAGGTGTCTCTGCAGGCCTGCCTCGGAGGGCTGAGACCTTCGGGGGCTATGACAATGTGGGCAGCCCCAGCAAGAGTAAGTATGTTACCTATGTCTGAGGCTGTGCCTCGGGAAGCTCATGAGTGGCAGATCCAGTGCTCTGTACAGTGTGACTTCTTGAGTTTTTAGTCGTGAGCCTTAACCTTTAACAGCTGAGCTATCTCCAGCATTGGGGGTATAAGTCCTGAAAACAGTCCTCAGTCCTCTGGGTGTTGTGGGCTCTGTACTACAAAGCCAGGGCCCTGCAGCAGGCCTCCAGGAGCACTAGCATGTATTTATTACGTGGTAGGGTTTGGGTGAAGAGGAGGAGAACCCAGACCCTGTGGGATTCATAGCATCCTCTTGTGATCAATTTGGGGTCTCCAGATGGCAGCTTTAAAAAGAAGATGTGCAACAACGACCTCGGGCCCCAAGACTGGCAGGGGCCTGCTAGCGGCCCAGATTCCAGATCCTGTGATGGCAACACCCCCGGTGGCTGTGAGGAATCACCACAGGCGGTAAGTGACTCATATGGTAACGTTGATTACCTGGGTTCAGACAGTCCAAGTCAGCATAACCACCACTAACATGGCAGCCTTCAAAATTAATCTTGCAGACCCCTGGGAATGACTGGCAGTGACTCGGGAGGGAGGCAGAGGAGAGAATGGGCTTGACTTCAGCAGGCCCAAAACCTCACATTGGTACCATAAGCTATCCAGAGTGTGTGGTAACATGTGCCCACATTCCTGACCTTTCACAGGCTCTTCCCTCCCTATTTGACTCGGCACAACTATTACCTGCGCATTGTTGCTGAGGTTTCCAGAAGCTAAGGCCACCTGCCCCTATCTGTATCTGAGGCTAGAACAGGACCCTGTGTCTGGCATGGCCACATAAGCTTCACTTCCAAGCCTCCAAGCCTACCCTACTGTAGAGCCGGACATCAGCCACCTCCCCACCTCCCAGGCATCCCATTTTCATTCTCCAGACTCTTGAATGGACGTACATCAGATGGCCATAGCACTTGTACCCCCACACACAGTCATAGCTCAGGCCTGGGTCCTTTTCTTTTTCCCAAGCCCAGAATATGTCTGCTCACATAGTGAGCCGTGGTGGTTTAGGTTTAAACCCATTTGCTACTATCATCCTCTTCTTCACAGGTGGAGATGCCTAGCACAGAGAGCAGCTCATGTCTGCCCACTGTCCTGGAGTCAGAGGTACCACCCCTGGTCCACCTCCCCCAGGGACGGCCTGCCCACATATCCTGTGTACCTTCATCAGGTAGACCAATTTGGCTTTCTCTCTGCAGCTGGTCCACCGGGTCCAGACACTGTCGCAGCTTCTTCTTAGTCTCCAGGTACCGGCAGCATCAGGGAGAGGACTGGCTGCTCCCGCTCTTTGCTGGTTGGCTGGGTCTAACCAAGGGCATGGCTCTCATCAGCCCCATCCCTATCCCTGCTCCTAGGCAGTTATCGCTCAACAAGACAGCTATGTGGAGATGCAGCGAGTGGCCATCCAGGAGCGTGAGAAGCAGTTCCGACTGCAGTCAACACGCGGGAACCTGCTGCTAGAGCAAGAGCGGCAGCGCAACTTCGAGAAGCAGCGTGAGGAGCGTGCTAGTGTTGAAAAGCTGCAGAGCCAGCTGCGCCAGGAGCAGCAGCGGTGGGAGCGGGAACATGCGCGACTGCAGGAGAGGGAGGACGAGGCACGCCAGCTCCGCCAGCAACTGGACCAGGAGCGCATGGAGCTGGAACAGCAGCGCCAGGCCTACCAGCACGACCTGGAGCGTCTACGCGAGGCCCAACGCGCGGTGGACCGTGAACGTGAGCGCCTGGAGCTGCTGCGCAGGTTCAAGAAGCAGAACACCGTACCGGGGGCACTACCCCCAGAGGTGTTGGCAGAGGTGGGTGAGACTGTGTGGCCAAACTGCTAAATTGGAAATGTGACTTGGTTTAGTGCTTGACTAGCTTGCACGAAGTCCCTGGTTCCAACCCCAGCATTGCATTAAGAAAAAAAAAAAAACACTTCCTGGTGGTGGTACACACCTTTAATCCCAGTCTGGTCTAACTGGTCTAATTGAGTTCCAGGACAGCCACATGTGATACACAAAGAAACCCTGTCTCAAAAAAAAAAAAACAAAACAAAACAAACTATAGTGGCACAGGCCTTTCGGCCTAACATTCAGGGGGTGGAGGCAGAAGGATTAGATCATCCTTGGCTACATAGCAAGTTCAAAGCCACTTAGGCTATGTGAGACCGTGGGGGATGTGGGAGCTGCTGTTAAAAGAAGCACATGCTTTTAACCCCAGCAATCAGGAGGCAGAGATGGATCTCTAGGAGTTCGAGGCCAACCTGGTCTACATAGAGTTCTAGGACAGCCAGGGCTACATAGACAGACCCTGTGAGTAATCCAGATTAGATTGTGTGGCCATATTTGTGCATGAGAGAGAGCACGCACATATATAGCCCAGTGTGACCATGGATATCCATATACTGGTGTGTTCCGCGAATTGTAAATCACCAGAAGCACTGTAGACTGAAGCAGTGCTCTGCAGAATGCAGAATACACCTTCCCAGCTGTGAACTGGACCCAGCTGGGTAGGCAACACCTATTACCAGTTGTGTTTGGTCCTCCCCAGTCCATAGCCACCAAAGGACTGGGAAGCCTTTTGTGGGGTTAACAGTCACCAGCAGGCTCAGCAATGATAGGCTGTGTCTTCTATTACTTTCAGGCCCAACCCACAAGCCACCCTCCCAGTTTCAATGGGGATGGACTAGAGGGGCGCTTAGCCCTAGCCAAAGCACCAGGGACCCAAGGGAGCATGCTGCTGTCTGGCACAGGACCTGAGTACATAGAGCGACCTGAGGTGGCCCGCTGGAATAGTACCACTGCTGAGAGCCGGTCAGCCAAGAGTGATGTGCCCATCCAGCTGCTCAGTGCCACCAACCAGATTCAGAGGCAGACAGCTGTGCAGCAGCAGATCCCTACCAAGCTGGCTGCCTCCACCAAGGGGGGCAAAGATAAGAGCAGCAAGAGCAGGGGTTCCCAGCGTTGGGAGAGCTCAGGTGAGTTACACCCCACCCCCAAAGTTCACAGACCCCTGTAGAAAGTCCACTGTGGAGCTCCAATCGGGTCCCCTGTACCCTCCAGAGAGGCAGCACGCCCCTCCCACTGGAGTTCTCTGTCTCAGCAGCGGAACTGAAATGACAGACCTCAGGCAGGGAGACAGCCAGCCAAGCACCAGCACGGGCAAGTAGCATGGCAAGAAAGCAATGTCCTTGGTTCCACTTGCGTGTCTGTTGCTATGATAAAAACACCCTGACCAAAAGCACCTTAGAGAAGTGATTTATTTTAGCTCGCAGGTCCAGGTCAGTCCATCACTGGGGGGGAGTCAAGGTGGCAAGAGCTTGAGACAGCCAGGCACGCAGAGAATGAAGGCGTGTTTGACTAGTGCCCAGCCATCTTTCTCAATTATCTAGACCAGGGCCTAAATCTAAGGAATGGTGGAGCCCACTTTCAGGCTGGGTTGTCCACACTGATTAAGGCAAACAAGACAATCCCTCACAGATATGCCCGCCAGTCAGCCTGATGGAGGCAATCCTTCACCAAGGCCTTTGTCCCAAGTTGTGTTGTTGACAAAACTAATCATCATGCCCATTTACTTAGAACCTCCCAGCTGGGGCACAGGTCAGGCACTAGGGTCTGTACCCAGCATCTTTGTCCCCTCCCCATAGAGATTCCCTATTCAGTTGACACAGGGAGTCATGACCTTTCCCATAAGCAGAGTCCCTGTCCTAATGATCATGGGAAAAGGATGTTTGCTTGGGAGCCACACCCTGCTCCCATCCCAACGCTGAGTGACTCTGTGCCACCTTTCAAAGTGCTTATCTGGCCGGACGATGGTGGCGCACACCTTTAATCCCAGCACTCGGGAGGCAGAGGCAGGCGGATCTCTGTGAGTTCGAGACCAGCCTGGTCTACGGAGCTAGTTCCAGGACAGGCTCCAAAGCCACAGAGAAACCCTGTCTCGAAAAATCAAAGTGCTTATCTGGCTGCCCCTGGGGAAATGAAAGGTAGGGGAGGCCCACTTGCCACCCAGATGACCAAGTCAAGCACCTTCCCTCTTCCAGCATCCTTCGACCTGAAGCAGCAGCTGCTTCTCAACAAGTTAATAAGCAAGGATGACAATTCGTCACGAAACCGCCGGTCACTGAGTCCCATCCTGACTACCCCCCATGGATCTGCACCTGCCCCAGGTGAGCCCGGCCACTGGACATTAGGGCCACCCACTGATTGTGGCGGCTTCTGACACCAGTATGCCCCATCTCTCTTGCAGATCCCTGCTTCCCAGCCCCAAGCCCAGTCCCAAGCCCGGCCCCAGCTGCCACGCCCCCTGAGGTCTTCAAGTCTGGAGGCATGCCTCTGCCACCTGCATCCCCAGCTTCCTCACTGCCAAGCACACCACTCACCGCCAAAGATGAAGCTGGCAAGGAAGATGTCATCTTCTTCTGAGGGGGCCATGGCCCCAAGAGCAGACCCTTTTCTGTCCTGATAACCCTTTGTCTCTGTTACTGTTCGGCCATCTCCTTCCCCTGCCTGAGCACACACCAGGCACTTGCTCACCTGTTGGTGTCTTGGGTCTCACAGCTCTCTGTAGAATTAGTGGTAAAGCCTGGGTAGCCTCTTGAGCCTTTTTATATATGCATGTGCAAACAAAGTTCTTTTAAACTGAAGGTTGAACTCCAGCCAAACCACAGAGCTGTTCTAAACCAGAGGTAGCAGCAAAAAGGTGGGAGGGCCAGGAGAAAAGGACAGGTGGGGCTAAGACGACACTGGCTCCAGAGGCAGGTTCCACAGCACCCAGAAGGTACTAGAATCACCCAGAGTCCAGTGAATCGCCCTTTCCAAAGCAGCAGTTGATGCTGGCCACAGAGAGACTTGATCAGTAAGTGAACTGGGCAATGGCAGAGGGCCACATGATTGGGGAGGTTTGGGAGCCCATGGGTCTGTGGGTTCACAAATCAGTCTGAAGAAGGCTACCAACTGTCACTCCTTGTAGTAGTTGGGGGTTTTCCCAGTTCTGCCTCTGGAGGAGCACCTGCCGTGTCCTCATACCCACCCATCTGAGACACAGAACCCTGGGTTCAGCAGAGCAACACATACCCCAGACAGTGTTTGGTCCCTGTGAGATGAGCAGATTTTTCCCTAATTCTCCAGTGTCCTGCCAGAGAGGCAGGAGTCTGGTCAGCAGCTGGTCTGGTCTGGTCTTCTCCCCAGGGCTGGGCACCCATAGGCTCAGGAGGTGACTGGGTGTGGTGACCAAGAATCCTACAGCTGGTGGACAACAGGTGCTGAAAGTGGTGGTGTCTAATGACTTCAGCACTCCAGGAGTGGTGTGGGGCCCCCTTGTCCGTCTCTGTCTTGTATCCAGAGTGTGTCTCCATTTACCAGACCTCATCCGTGCCATGTTGCTAATCAGTGTTTTGTGGGTTTTTTTTTTTTTTTTGTGCGTGTTTTTTTGTACTGAGATATCAGAGCACTTTAGGAAAGCTGACCTTTAAGCTCCCACTCTCTGAAGAGAACATTCCAGGACCCCACCCAAGTTGCGTGGGCTCACCATCAGTTCATATGCCCTGATCCCACCCCAGACACTATGATGTTTTGGATTTAGAAGTTCAAATGATTTCCCCTTGGCCCTGAGTAGGATTTTCACATCCCTGCCAGGTGGCCAGGTGTTACCTCACTGTGTTCTGCACACCGTAGAACAGTGGTATCAGTGTATCTGTCACCAGCAGCCGTGGGGTCCTCCTTAGTGGGTCTCATTTGTAAAGCTGGTGACCAGCAGCATTCCCAACTCTGAGACTGAGTGGCATCCCTTGTCAATTGTGACCATGATCTTCGTCTACCCTGTGATTATTTCCACAGTGATAGCAGAGCATCCTAGCCACAGGGTATTCTGGAATCACCCTAGAACTTATGACCAGATTCTAGCAATAAAAGCATCCAAAGGCCCTCAGGTTGAAGCAGACCTTCTTTGGGGTTGGGAGGGGGAGGAGGGAGCTGTCTCCTGCTGAGATTTTGGTGACAGAGAACACGAATGTCTAAAAGGGAGCGGATACTGTGGGTGTTGACATGTAGATGTGGTTCAGTTGATAGAGTGCTTATCTTGCATACATGAAGTCCTAAATTCTGTCACCAGGTTGACATGGTATTGCACACTTGTAATCTCAGCACTCAGGAGGTGGATGTAAAGGACCAGAAGTTTGGAGTGGGGCTGGGGAGATGGCCCAGTGGTCCAGGCAAGTGTGAGGGCCTGACCCCAAGTCAAAAGTTCGATACAGAAGCATATCTCTGTAATCCCAACACTATCCCAGGCTAGAAAGCAGAAACGAGAAATCCCTGGAAATGCACTGGCAAGCTAGCCTAATGTCTACAGCAGTGGACAGCGGCTGGAGCCTGAGGTTATCCTCTGACCTCTCCACACATGTGCTTTTCTGTTTGTTTGAGGGCTTGGAGCTGGAGAGATGGCTGTGTTTAAGAGCACGGACTGCTCTTAGGGCCTGGATTTGGTTCCCATGGTGGCTCCAAACCATTTGTAACTCCAGTTCTATGGGGATCCATGGGCACCAGGCATGCATTGGCACACATATACTGGGGCACATATACAAGAAGTCTTTTTTTGAAAACTAAAAGTTTAGCTGGTTATGGATGGTGGCACACAACTTTAATGCAATGCCAGCACTCAGTAGGTCGAAGCAGGCAGACCTCTGTGATTATGAGGCCAGCCAAGGCTACATAGTCTTGTCTCAAAAAAAAGATAAAAATGTTTCAAGCATCCTCGACTACACAGTAAATTCAAGGTGACCTGGCTCACATGAAGCCTTGTCTCAAGCACAGACTAAGTAAGCAATGGTGGGAGCTGGAGCTCGGGGGTGGACGACTTGGCTAGTATATGCGAGATCTTAGGTCCATTTCCATCCAGAACCACTGGACAGCCCAGGTGAGCCCTTTCTGGAAGTGTCTGTCCTTTTGCTCTATGTCTGCACCATATGTGGTTAATGTCAAGGGCCTTCCCACCCCAGGCTTGGGCCTCATCAAACTCTGTCCTCCTGGTACCCGGACTAGGTGAGGGCATGGGCTCAGACTTCAGGTGGGGCACAGGACACCAATATGATGTCCTTGAGTGCCGGAGCAGCTGCGACCACCCCAGGGTCAGGAGCCTGATGCTGGCCTACAGGTGCTCCACAGGTGAGAGGCTGGGGTGCTCGGTTGGGTTCACTCTTGGGCCACACTACCCCAAGTGCTGCCAGCACAGCAGTGGCTCACGAACACCTGTCTTTGTAAAACCAAAATTTCTTGGACTTCTGGCCAACACCAAAAGGGTGGGGGCTGGGATCATTGTATCTCAACAGTAGAATACTTGGCTCATCATCCCTAGTACCAAAAATTGGGGGGAGGGTCAGGGAAGCAACCTGACCTATGTAGCAGGGCTGTCTGAAAACATACACACAAAAGACTGGTATCATGTAAAGTTCAAAGGCTGTGGTATCTAGTCTACCAGGCTGGGCCCAGTGCTTCCCAAACATCTTTCTTGGCTTTCGAATTAAAAATCATACCCGCGATCAGGTGAGATGGCCCCGTGGGTAAAGGTGCTTGCCACCGAGCCAATCCCCAGGACTCACATGGTGGAAATGGTGACACATACACGAAAATGTAATAAAAACTTGAACTGATTTAAAAAAAAAAAAAAACCACCTACTATAGTCTCTTTGATACAGAACACAAATCCACGTCTTCAGAGGCCAGCAAGCACGGCCTGGCCCCAGCTTAAATAGAGCCTCCGTGGCCCTTGATATTGGCATGACTGTTCTCATTTAGGTGTGGCCTTCCTGGAAGCAACAACCTACAGTTTTCCTCCCGGGACTGCAGAAGGTGGAGAACATTGTCCCAGGCCCGGGCTCAGTGGCAGAGGCAGTCAGATACTGAGAGGCCGAGGGAGCCCCGAAGGGTGGAATAGAGACGAGCGGTTTCCCACTTACTGCTCCATGCACCTGTCTAACCAAACCGTACCATGTGACTCCTCTAATCACCTCACATACAGACTGGCCCCATACCAAGTTATTTAATAGGCATTCCAGTGTTCCAGCTTCCCCAGTGCCTGACCCAAGGCATGACATGTCTCCCACTCACCCTCAGGTAAGCCAGCAAGTGGGGGGTTCTAGCAGAGTACTCCTGGGACTTTGCAAGCTCTGAGAATCCTGGGGTCCTCCTCATGTGGCCCCCCACTTCCCAAAGGAACAGATTTCCCATGATGCCCTAGCTGGGACCTGGGATCTATCGGCCCTTTTCCTTCCCACGCAGGAACAGTTACTGGGGTACACGATTATGGATGCACCCCTGGCCAGTGGTTCCCATTCTGGGAATCTGCCCTCTGTTGAGCCCCACAGCGTCCTCCACCTGCCACTCCAGGGCCTCATCAAGAGCTGTCTGCCTCAGCTGTGCTGCTAGCCCTGGCAGCCTGATACATGCTGAGGAGGGAGGAGATAGTACCCAGGAGGCCCACCAGCCAAGGAGGGAAGCGGCCAGCCCACAAGACACCTGGGGGCAGCCAGTGCACAGCATTGGCCAGGTCAGCCAGGTTGCTGAGTAGAGTTAAAACCTCTGACCACATCTTTGCCTCCATGGCCCTCCGCTTGCTCCTGGGCAGCTCGCTGTGGGAGAGAAGGGGAAGGGAGTCACTCATTGCCCGCCCTTCCCATATCCCCCAGAAAGGAGCAAGCACAGAGTGGTCCACAGGCTCAATTTCACACCTGCTTTCCAGGATCTCTGGGCATGGAGTGTAGGGGCTGTGACCATTGTCCTCAACTTCACATCACCCACCCACCCTGCTGTGGGATGCAGCCATGAAGGCTCAACCTGTAGTCCTCATTCTAGCAAGCCTGTTCCCCTACCTGGAAAAGACACTACTTCCCACCCAGAGGCTAAAGCAATGCTCTTTAACCACACACCCTTTAATTGTTTGTGATCTATCCCCAGAGCCACACACATCAACCCCACGTGCACATCCTTTGTATTGTAGTGTTCTATTCCCTGAACACACAAACACATTTTTTTTTTTTTGAGGGCTGTCCTGGAATTCTCTTTGTAGATTAGGCTGACTTCAAACTTACTGAGATCATCCTCATGACTGCCTCCCAAATGCTAGGATTAAAGGCATGTGCCGCCACCACCTGGCTTACACATACCCTTTTGTAGAGATCTATCCCCTGAAACACACACACACACACACACACACACACACACTTTTTGTAGTGATCTATGCCCTGAACCTAACAGCAATCAGGACTGTGGATGGCTGACTTCTGTGTATGGAGAGGAGGGGAGGGATGGCTGACTTCTGTGTATGGAGATGTGGGACGGTCACTGGCTCCTCATCTGACATTCTAGTCACTTCCCTCCTGACCGCCCAGCCCTGCTGTGTGTAGTTCTGCCCTGACTGCATGGAGGTGCTGTGCAGCTGTGAGGAAGCTGTCATCCATGCTCGGGTAAGACGCCAACGATACAGCTATCTGGGGGCCACACACACTCCTGCTCTGTTTGGTTCCACAAGCTGGAATTTGACTAAACCATACTTTAGTTTGTCACTGATGGCCCATGAAGCATGGCAGACATATACATACAACTTTCCAGGGAAAGGGTTCCCACATTAGCCCTGCAAAGGTCAGCAGGGGAATGGCTCAGAGAGGTGGCCACTCTACACCTTGCAGGAGAGGAGAGGTTAAGACACGGTAGGATGCGGTACCTGGTGAAGGTGCCTGTGGGTTTCCACAGCTTCTGTCTTAGCTTCAATGCCGTCCACAGAGACCTGCAACACAGGAGACCATGGACACCCTGCCACAGCAGCCTGGAAAGCTGGGAGAGGAAGGGGTCAGCTCTCCATGGCAGCTGAGGCCTCAAGAGCCTCTACTGCCTTTAGCCTAGGGAACTCTGAGACCAGCCACCCTCCATATTTGGCCAGCAGTGGTCCTGCTTGCAGCCTCCTGCACAGAGCTGCAAACCAGCTATGCCTTGGAAGAGAGACTTGTCCCTTTTGGGGGTAAAGGCTGAGGTTCTGTCCTGGTTAGCTTTATTGTCAAACTGAGTCAGCCTAGAGTCACCTGAAAGCCTTGACGGAGGAAGGAGTCCTGAGTATTAAAAAAAAAAGCCTTTGTAGCCAAGTCTGGTACCCTAAATTGGATCCCAGCATCCACATGGTGAAAGGAAATGACCACCCAAATTGTCCTCTGACCTCCATACATGCGCCACAGCACATGCGCACACACATACAAAAATAAGAAGTAAATAAATGTTAAAAGGAAAAGAAAAAGAGAGCTAGAGACATAACCCTTGGGAAAAAACCATCAGTGCTGAGGGTACCTGGTGCTCACTGGGCAACCAAGTTAGTTAATTAGTCCAGGCCAGTAAGAGTAGAATAAAATAAAATAAAATAAAAAGGTGGAGGACCAGCAAGATGGCTCAGCAAGGAAGAGGTGCTTGCCACCAAACCTAAGGATCTGAGTTCAATCCCCAGGACCCAGGAAAGAACCTGTAAGCTGTCCTCTGAACTCCACATGTGTACTACACAAGCCCCTCCCCACACACAAATAATTAAAAGAAGTTTTTAATTAAATCATTAAAAAATCAAAATAAAGGGGAATGACTAAGTAAAGACATCTGAGGTTGACTTCTGGTCTCCACACGCTCACACATGCCCTCACACACATACAGGCATACAAGAAAAGCAAGGAAAAATAAAAAACAGGTAAATAAATAGAAATTAAAAGAAAGTCAAGGAAGAGCAAGGGAGATGGCTCCGTGGTTAAGAGCACTTGCTTACAACTGCTAGGACTTTAGTTTGGATCCCAACACCCACACGGCAAGCTGGGCATGGTCCTGCTGCACACTCCTACTGGAGTTACTACCCCAGTGCTGAGAGGCAGGAGGGTCACTAAAGCTTGCTGGCTGCCAAACAAGCCAAAACACAAGCTCTGGGTTCAGGCCAACAAAAAGAGTAACAGAAGACATTCTATGTCCTGATCTGGCCTCTGCATAAATACACACCTGCCACATTCACATACAAACACAAATAATTAATAAACTCCTTTTCTATGGAACTGGAGAAGGGACTCAGTAGTCAGGAGCAAGCTCTTGTACTGCTCTTGCAGAGTGGATTCAGTTCCCAGCACTGATGTTGGACAGCTCACAGCAGCAGGTAACTCCAGCCCCAGAGACTCCAACACCCTATTCTGGCACAGGCTCTATGCTAATATGTATGAAATCATGCACATAATTAAAAACAAAATCTCTTTAAAAGCCTTCGAAATAAATACATCTTTTAAGAGAGAGAGAAGGGGAGGGGGCAGGGATCGGAATCAGAGGGAAGACTCTAAGACTCCACGGTGCTAGCTTTGAAGAAGGATGGGGCCACTAGCAAAAGGTTGCGGACCCTCTAGACCCTGGAAAAGGGCAGAGGTGGAAAGGCGGTGGAGCCTCCAGGAAGGGAGCAGCCTTGTCCCACCTGGACTTTACCCAGGAAATTGGTCTCAGGATTCTGACCTCCAGCACTGGGAGTAACGCATCTGTGTTGTTTTAAACTGCACATTTATATCCAACTGTTACAGAAGTTACAGCAAGGGGAGGGGCTGAAGGCTCCGCTCAGCAACTAAGACGCTGGCTGCTCTAGCAAAGGACCTGGGTTTGGTTCCCAGTACCCACACAGCACTCACAACTGCCTCTAACTACAGTTCCAGAGGCTCGGCCATCCTTTTCTAACTTCTGTGGCCGCTGCACACACAGGGTGCGCAGAAATATCTGCAGGCTAAAGACCCATACACATAAAAATTTAAAAAAAAAAAAAAGCCGGGTGGTGGTGGCACACGCTTTTAATCCCAGCACTCCAGCTGACCTCTGTGAGTTCGAGGCCAGCATGGTCTACAGAGCTAGTTGCAGGATAGCCAAAGATTCGCAGAGAAAAGATTAAGGAAACCCCAATATGTGAAGACTCGCCGCCTCCTTTGAACCTCCTGACAAAATATAAAAGGGCTGGAACCCCTACAGCTCTGCTAAGGTAACAGCACTTGGGGACGTCAGGTGTTCCCTCTAGCAGACATCACATACCTGACAGCTCCAAGGAGTAGAGAGAGAATCCAGAGGGCTGTGCTCAGTGTCCACCACCCAGCAGAGTCCACCTGGAGGACCTTGGCATCGGCAGCCCAGGCGACATGCTCACATGGATAGTACAGCTGGTCAGCCATGTTACTCAGGACAGACAACCATCGGACGAAGATGTCCTCCTTCTGTGAAACCAAGTGGTGGGACAGGTCTGCAAGTCACAACTCCCCACTGTCTGATTTAGGATGGGGCCATTCTGGACCACAAGACTTCCCCATGACAATAGTCTGTGCCCTGGTGTCTGGGCAGGACAGCCCAACAGCTGTGTAAGAGGAGAGCTAGGGGCCTGGCTTCCTCTGCTCATGCTCATTGCACAGCTCCCTGGGTCTCAACTCAGGCTCTGGAATTCCCTGGAGAGCTG